GACAAAGTGAGACTCAGCCTCAAAAAACAAAACAAAACAAAACAGCTGTGAACCTCCTAGTGCCAGGCCATAATCACAAGACCTTATGCCTCCTGTTCGGAGAAGCCAGGATAGGTGGCACTCCCCACAGATCCCACCCACCACCCACACTAAACACAGCAGGACAGACACTGCGCCTAGCTTTTTTTTTTTTTTTGAAGCAGAGTCTTACTTTGTCACCCTGGGTAGAGTGCTGTAGCACCCTATCTCACAGCAACATGAAACTCTGGGACTACAGCGTCTGCCAGAATACCTGGCTAGTTTTTCTATTTTCAGTAGAGATGGGTCTTACTCTTGCTCAGGCTGGTCTCGAAACTCCTAACCTCAAGTAATCCACCCACCTTGGCCACCGAGAATGCTGGAATTACAGGCATGAGCCACTATGCCCATCCGGTCCCTAGCTAGTTCTACCACTGAAACTGCAACCTGGGAGGGGTTTATCCACCCTTGTTCAGTCCTGCCTCAGGACTGGATGTGCATGCTGGCACATTTCGCTCTGCCCTCATGTTCCCTGCACTCCACCAAAGGTGACAGTGCTCACTCACCTCAGGCAGTATTCATTTTACCTGTGAAAACATCCTCACCCTGTTAGTTAGGAAGGCAGGTTTGAGGCGTTCCTCCCATCTTCCAGTTGACCTCCCCTGCAAGACAACTTCTGGCAGCCCTCTCCATGTCAGTGACTGGCTTTCCTCGTGGTGAGCCTCCAGAAGAAACCCATTTGTGGGCTCACAGAACAATGTTCTGCTCCTGCCACTTTAAGTAGCACCAGATCCAGATGCTAAGGGAGAGTGAAGGCCAAGACATGGTTATGTCACAAAAGAAAGACACAGAACAGCATTACAGTGCTATGTGCCATCACGATCATGCTTGAGCAGATGCACGATAACAGAGGAGGGGCTGGCATGGTGGCACACACCTATAATCTCAGCACTCTGGGTAGCTGAGATCGTAAGGTACTAGCTCAAAGTGATCTGTGACAGTCTGCAGTGCCACAACCTTTGCTTTGTGTGGCCTGAGCTCACTCAAGCTCAGGAGTTGGAGACCAGCCTGAGCAAGAGCAAGACCCGTCCCCACTAAAAATAGAAAAACTAGCAGAGTGTGGTGCCAGACACCTGTAGTCCCAGCTACTTGGGAGGCCGAGGCAGGAAGATTGCTTGAGTCTAGGAGTTTAAAGTTGCTGTGAGCTGTGATGACCCAGGGTAACAGTGACAGAGTGAGACTCTGTCTCAAAAAAATAATAAAATGACAAAGAAGAATAGCGTCCTCGAAGGCTGTGAGCAATGATAAGTGAGAAACTTTTTTTTTTTTTTGCAATTTTTTTTTGGCCAGGGCCAGGTTTGAACCCGCCACCTACGGTATATGGGGCCAGTGCCCTACTCCTTTGAGCCACAAGCACTGCCCGTGAGAAATTTTTTATTCCATGTGCACTACCATATTTCTAAAATTTTATGTCAAAGGAATGTTTTTAAAGAAAGGTAATTCCAAATTATTAAGAAAAATGGCTCAGCACCCATAGCTCAGTGGTTAGGGTGCCAGCAACATACACTGGAGCTGGCAGGTTTGAACCCGGCTCAGGCCTCCTAAACAATGACAACTACAATGACAACAAAAAATATATATCCAGGTGTTGTGGCAGAAGCCTATAGTCCCAGATACTTGGGAGGCTGAGACAAGAGAATCGCTTAAGCCCAAGAGTTTGAGGTTGCTGTGAGCTGTGATAGCACAGCACTCTACTGAGGGTGACATAGTGAGATTCTGTCCCCAAAAAAAAAAAAAAATTAGGCTCGGTGCCCATAGCACAGTGGTTACAGTGCCAGCCACAT